AGTACATGATGTGCAGTGCTATACTGAGGAATCACCTTAACACTTTAACTCCTAAGATCTCATTAGTAATTCTCCTTACTGTCTGCCATATAGTTCTTGTGATGAAAGTTTGGAGAATTTGGTATTGGATCAACTAGTAATTCCCAAATAAATATTTTTCTTTATTCTCATCACTTGTCTGCTTGATATTGTACTGATATTGTAAGGAGAAATTCTGTCGTGGTCACTCATGGGAGTTAAAGGGTAAAACTAGTCCAATTTGGCTGGGACAGCTTATGCGTGATATATATAAGCAACCTTGAGATCTCCAGGTCTCACATGGCTAAACAATTATGAGGTTTGAAATGATTTGAATTGAGGCCAGTCATCTGTACATGTGTTGCTCTGTGTCAGAGTAGGCAAGATTTCTGTGTAACCCATAGATCATTATACACACAGTTATAAGAACATAGAAACATTGGCATAAACAGTGCACTGATTTTAGGACTACGTCTTTAAAGTATGGGGTCAAAAGGAAATCTTTCCTTTAAGTGTTCATCTAAAGGATTCTTTAACTCTCCTTGACCTGAGACATTTCCTTTGTCTTATGTACTTCAAATTTGATGATGATGATGATCAGGGTGTTCATCATACATTGTCACTTATCTAACTTTTAGGACTTTGGCTTTGTCATAGAATAATTGGGGGTTATATTTCTCCTCAAAGTGCTTGAGTGTTTATGTGAAGGATTCTTTAACTTGTCTGAAGCTAAAATATTTCCTTTGTCATATGCTTTTGAAATACAATGAGAGTTGATTGAGTCAAAGAGCAGATTCTTTCAACCATTACACTCCCAAGATCTCATTAGTAATTCTCCTTACTTTCTACCCTAAAATTCCTATCATGTTAGTTTTGAGAATTTGTTATTGGATCAACCAATAATCCCCTAATTAATACTTTTCTTCATTCTCATCACTTGTCTCCTTGATTTTGTTTTGATATTATTATAATGATAAATTTTCACTCTTGAGAGTTAAAAGGTTAAATATGTTGGGGTCTTCATAACACATTGTCACTTTCTTGTAAAAACTTAGGTAGAATTTTTTGTTATATCCATTCTTTGGTCTTGGTAATTTTTCATAGAAAACATCTCTTTTGTGATAATAACAGTGATGATGATAATAATGATTCTTCATTTTTTTTGTTTTTATTTTGTTGTTTACCTAAAAAGACTGCTGAGGTGTACATGGAGATCTTACTTTGTGATAATGAAGATGATGATGGTTTTGATTCTCTTTGTTCTCATCACTTGTCTCTTTGATATTGTTTTGATATTATTAGAAATTCTGTCTTGATTGCTATGAGAGTTAAAGGGTGAAATGTATAGGGGTCTTCATTACACTTAGAGACATTTCTTTTCTCTAAAAACTCAGAGAGGTTTTGTGTTTCATCCATTTGTTGGTCTTGGTGATTTGTCATAGAGAAAACCCCTTGTTGTGAATGAAAAGCAACACAGGTATGCACTGCAGACCTATGTTGGAGTGCTTACAGTGTCCCTTAACAATCACAAATAAGCCGTGAGATAGATTTTTTGTTTCCCAATGCATTGCAGGCCTATTGTTTACTTTTTTAATAATGACAAGAATACATGTAATAATAGCAATAATAACAATAATTCTCTAAGTGCCAAAAGTGCTAACTGCAATTTTGATATAAGGTCTTATCTTATGTTTTCAGGCTTAGACTGTCTTTTATGAGAAAAAAAAACTCTTTCACTGATGTGCAGCCATCAACAGAATATGTGATATAGTTTAGAAATCCTCAGTTGCATTCACTGCGATTATTGTTATGTCTCCATATTTTTATTTCTTCAGAAAGAAAAAAAATTGATGGTTTATTTGTTTGACAGGTCAGATGTTCTTCATTCAGTGTTGTTTCCCAATGCATTGCAGGCCTACAAGCAAAATAAATAAATAAAAATTCCAGATGCAATGTCAAATAGGCAAATTACTTTGGTAGACTATTTTTGATGATAATATAACTATGATAATAATATTTTTATGTTGTTGTCATGTATGTTGTAACAATTGTCTTCAACTTACCACTTGTGTAGCAATAAAATTTCTGTAAATCTACAGAAATGACTTTTTCAACGACCAAATTGGGTTCTTTTCTTGTACTGTATTTGTGGAAGGGGTCAAGGCTGTGGTTGATGATGCACTAATTACTGACTAAGAGGATGACAAATTTTCTTCTCTCTATTATGGCTGGTGTCCTTTATAGGCATGATAGTATTCGTTTGAATAAATTTGTTGAGAAAACATGTAGGGGGAAATAATTCAATTTTTTTTATCTCTGATGGAAATTTAAGCAGTTTGGAAATCTTAATAAGTGTTACCAGTAGGTTATTTTGTAAACTTCACTAAGGTTTCTTTCCTTTGCACATGAGCAATTTAGCATTGTCGGAGTTAGTGTTTGTTCTATCTTTTAATTAGATGGTCAGGGGGATGGAATTCATTCCTGTTTACATTTCAATACCAGAAAGTGCTTAAATATAACCACTTCCATTAAAATGACATCTGTTGTTGTTTTCTCAAACAGTCAAAGAGAGACTTAAGGCAAGATGTCTCATCCAGTAACAATATGAGCAAACAACATCCATTCTTGTGGAAAAGTATAGTTTTGTAAAGATGGCTTTGTATCCAGTAACAAAGAGCAAACAATCTACCATGACACATGAACCTTGTAACAGCCTTGGTCAAGAGAGAGTCTCTGTGGCTCAGTGTCCGATTGTGGGGTTGATTCAGAAAGTCTGAGATTTGATTCCCCATCAGGATTGTTATGTCCCCTACTTGTGATGCAACAAAAAACATCTTTCTTGATCATATTAAACCAAACTTGCTTTGTATTCATTTTATGCCCTTGCAAGCAACTGAAACAAGATTTCAACTTAGTGGTGATATAAATAATCCTCTATTTTGCTTAGATCTTTAAATTTTCACCTGCTCCTAGAGTTCACACTCCTAAGATATAGAACTCATTCAAAACTTAACTTACTCAATTATGGCTTATTTGAGGGAAAAGGCACAGTATTAACATCAGCCAAGCAATCTATTTTCTGATATTTTAGTTAACCCTTCAACTCCCAAGATCTAATTGCTAATTCTCTCCTCAAGCTGCTACACATTTCTTTGTAAGTTAGTTATGAGAATTTGACATTAGATCAAGACAACAACTTCTACCTGAGTATTCTTATTACCTTTTTGCCAAGTAACATATGGATATTATAGGGAGAAGTCACATGTTAGTTACTTCTGGGAGTTAAGGTTACTTCCCACCTTCAGAGACAATGGGTTACTTTTCGCGGGAAATCTTGATCTACCATCATTGATGCCAGGAGTTCCCTTAGTCCTATTGGTGATCCACCATTATTGATGCCAGGAGGTCCCTTTGTCCTATTGGTCTGCAGTTTCAGGAGGCGAGATAATCTCTTGGCATGGCACAAGTTGTTTGTGAACCTTTAGGAGCTTAAATCTCATGTTTGATATAGGGAGGAATACAACAACTTTGAGCTAATTTATAGGATGTATAGATTTGATCGATTTTCATCAAATTTCCCCAAAGCATCCTAGGAATAATGACAAAGGAAAGTGTGTTGAGAAATTTTGATATTTGAAATATTTGTCTTGTGGAGTCCATTTACGCAACACGTCTCAAATATTTTTAGCTAGTCTAACTTTAGATCCCGATATCAACTCAACCAATCAGAATATCGAAAAAGCCAGACACACTCTTGTTGATTGATGCCTTGTGAATGAGACTGCAGCCATTTTGCTCATGCAGCAGCATCCAGTGCCCGATAAATTCAATAGAAGAACCTTTGGTTGCTTTATGCCTTGCTGGCTTCTGACACTCCCTCAAAGAAAAGTTGCTTAAGTTATATTTTTATAGTAATCTGCATTTATTAAGCTTTCCTCTGATAAATGGTTTCCTATGATTTTGGTTAAACTAGCACGAGTACAAAATTTTTCCCCAAAAGACACCAGCGAAGCTGGGAAGTAACCTAAACTCTTAACTCCCAGATCAAATTTCTAATTCTCCTTAATGTCAACCATACAATTCCTATAATGTTAGTTCAGACAATTTAGTATTGGATCAACTAATTATTTCCAAATTGATATTTTTCTTTAATCTCCTCACTTATCTGGTTGATATTGTGTTGATATTATAAGGAGAAATTCTGTCTTGGTCACTCATGGGAGTTAAAGGGTTAAAGGATTTAGAATTATCTTGACCTTGTAGTTGTTCATTTCCTGGGATGTCAGCTGAAAGGATGATGGAATCTACCTCCTCTAAGCTGATGAACTTAATTCTCATTACTTGTTTATTCAACAATGCACTTATGTTTTCAGGGGAAGTTGCATTTTCATCACTTTTGGTAGCTAAATGGTTCAGTGTGGAAAATGAATTGTGAAAGTTGGCTGGTATGAAGTGACATAAGGAGGAGCATCAGGGATAGGAGAACCTAAGGAAAACCTAGAGGAGGGAGGGTGGAGGAACTATGGCTTGTCTCTCTCCCCCTCTCCCCCCCCCACCATCATTTCACTTTCAAATGGCACACAGTCCTTAGCACAAATCAAATCTCTCCATAGACTCTTGCCCTTCAGCCCCCATACTACATCAAAATTCAATATGGTCATTCCAAAACAGGGGTAGTTTGGTGATGAAGTTTCTGAGCTGTTGAATACAGTTGGCTGTGAGTCAATGTAAAAATGATAACGAGAGGCAAAACACAAGGAAAGATTAATGAAGGCCAAAACACCAAAAGAGGTACTGAAAAAAAAAATCAATGTGACAGGATTGTGAACTTGTGGATAAACTCTGCCGAAAACAATTGTTTAGTGTATTTTGTCAGACCAAGTCTAAGGTTGCAAAATAAATCTGGGAATTAACTCCAACAATCCAATCCAATTCTCAGTTGTATTTATTTACACTTATTTTAGTAAAATAATAAATTTCACTTAATTAACAAAACTGAAAAATCAGAGAAAAATAAGAAATGCAAAAGTACTTCAAATAAGAGAAAAATGTGTAGTGATCACAGGAACAAAAACTTTCAAGTTGGCCAAAGAATAAGTAGGCCTCCTAAGAATCAATAAGTTTTTAGTGCCCACTGACGATTAGGAACAAAAGTCTGCCATCGGTAACAATATCTCATCACTAATTATACTTTTCCTAACAGATCCTTTTGATGAAACATTTTCAAACATCATATCAACAACTTCTTTAGCATTTACCTTTTCCTGAAAGTTCTAAAAGATTAAAATATGACAATACTGACCTCCCCACCAAACCCCCCGAGGTAAAGGAAAAAATACATAGAAAACTGCTACTTGTGCATCATCATACTCAACAAAGCCATGCATTCCTGGTTTGTGATTTTGTTTTCCTACAGTATTCCAACTATCTTTTTGATAATATCAGTTATCTTTCTGCTCTGAATTCTGGGAGATTGTTTCATTGATATCTTAGGAATTGTTTTTACTCCTCAGTTTGACTTTGGCAGTAATATTTTGTGCAATGCTTGTTCTCCTTTTCTCCTGTTTTTTTACCTAACAACTCACAAAACAAGTTAGAGTTTAGTTTTGGCGTTTTCCGATTGCGTTCCAAAGGAAACTTTACCAAAGTTCTCATATTAATAAACGTTTAGTTCATTTCATGCTTTCAATTTTTTCATGCTGATTTATTTTAGTCCCCTTAATAGGTCTGAGGGCTGAAATGCAGCTTTCAGTGTCACTAGCTTTCAATTCAGCCTTATTTGCAAGAGCATTAAAAAATAACCATTTATCTACAATAAAATGAAAAATGTCTGTTCAAACTAATACCAGTGTCCATTCAAAAACAATGTGCAGGAAAGATAATCTTTGTGCAGGATCAGTTGTTACTCTGTTTCTTCTCTGCCTCATTGTTGTCCTCCTTGTGTTCTTCTTTCCTGAAACAAACATAATACAATTTCAACTCTAAAGCATTATATGGATCAGAATTTCTAAAAGATTCAAAGTAGCTAGACACACAGCTCAAATAGCTATCAACTTCAAAGTCATTAGGTAGCTTATATCTCTCAAGTTGCTTTCATTGCATTTACTTTGGCCTGTCTATCATCCTCTTGGGCTTCCGTTTGAAGAATAATTTCTGAAGATTTCGCACACAAAAGCAACTTTGATTCAAGGCCAATTTTGAAAATGATTCATCAAAATCTTCTGGTTCTGTGGGGGAGGGGAGGGGGGGGGTTTATGGAGCCTTACAGGGGATCAGGTGAATTTTACTGGGAGACAACCAAAATCCTCGAGCAGCACCCAATTCCCCCCCGGCTGCTGAACAGTCCCTAAGATAGCTAATGTTGGGTAACGTAAGGTAGCTAATGGAAATTTCTTATCAGAACTAGACCTACCCGATGTATGTAAAATCCAACGTCACGTTGTCTCCCATCAGCACAAATGGAGCCCATTGATTAGGTTTGGGAAAGCCGTTGCTTCTCAACCATTTTACGGCCTGGTGAAGAGATTCACTGGCACTTTCTCCACGAACAAGGTGCTTGTAGAAATGATTCATGAGCTGCTCCGTTGCTTCGTCTTCTATGGCCCACGATGCTACCAACACTGAACGTGCACCGGATGCTAAGAATGCACGAGCGATTCCAAGAACTCCTTCGGCTTTGACCAATCCACGCGCACTGTGACAACAGCTCAATACAACCAGTTTTGCTCGCACTTGAGTTCCGAAAATGTCGGACATTGTCAAGAGGTAGTCTTCTTCTTGTGGAAAACTGTTGGTGGTACATTTAGGACATTTAGGCGACAGGGCAATCTCTCCTCTTTCGGCATTTCCATGTGCGGCAATATGTATGAGACTCACTGAAGGTATCGCTTGAAGCACTGCCTGCTTAGTTGCAGACTCTCCTAACAAAGGCTGAACTCCCAACAGTCGACCAACCATCTCTGCTTCCTCTCTAGCACAGAACAATGGTACAAAGTCAGCGACACGTCCATTATAATACACCTGGCCAACCGTAGGATCACCCACTACAAGTGCACCAGTTTCACTGTGATAATCCGCTGGACAATCTTGAATGAGCCGGAGGGTCGCTAGGGAAGGGATGATACGGATTCTGTAAGTCTCTGATAGATACTTTCCGGCTGCTCCATCACGCAAGGCAGCAAACGGGACTCGATACGAGAAACGATACGGCACAATGATGATTTCAGGCTCTGTAAGTAAATCTACCACAGGAGCGATGATCCATTTGTAACACAAATGATGAATTCTTTCGGTTTCTTTGCTTTCGTCACCGCGCAAAGTTGCTCGGCTCTCTTCAAAAAGAGATGTCGTTACGTTGCCATCCAAAGATCGATCTTCGCAATTCGCTGTGAATAAAACGCCAAAGCTGGCGGCGCTCTTTTTGAAAATTCCCTCCACGTTCCAAACTTTCTCAGGAATGAGAGTGCTGTCTTTCACTTTGTCGGTGACTCGAAAGGAAATGTCTCCATTTGCTTTCAAAACCCAGAGACAAACTTGCCGCTCAGTATACAAAATGTACAAAAAGACACAGTTACTCTCCTTTTTCACGATGTTTTCGATCCCGAACCATAATTTTGGATCAGCCGAGATGGGGCTTTCAACGGAGAACTTCTTTGCCATGCATTCTACGAGGACTCTCGCTCGTCCCAGCTCCTCGACATAAAGAGCGTCTTGAAATTTGCCAGTATTGCAAAACAAGCTAGTGAGCAAGTGATAAGGAAAAATACCGCGCACTTCTAACAGGGATATTTCAAACTCTTTGTTTCCTTTAAGAAAACTCCTCAATTGTTCATATTTTCCAATACATTGAAGGAGATGTTCCTTTGCCTCCACAACCTTTAATTGCGATACCTTTAACTGTGTGATGCTGAGAAGGCTGTGAAACTCAGTCAGTATGTCTCCAATTCTACTGCTTATGGAGCGAGCCTTCTCTAAGTAATCTTCTGCCTCGTCGCATTCACCAAGCGATCTACATAGATCTCCGAGTTTGAGGTAACTATTTCCTTCCAGAGCTTTATGGCCACATTCCTTGCTGATGGTGAGCGCCTTCTGATAATGTTCTTTTGCTTTCTGATTGTCCTTGATAAAAGTGAACACTGCTGCCAAACCTTTGGAAGCGCATCCTTCATTTATTCTTTGTCCAATTGCTGTACTGATGCTGAGTGCTTTGTCGAAATATTCTTTAGCTTGACGATATTTCCCAAGGCTGCAGTAAACGTTTCCAAGGTTTAAGTATCCTGAACATTCCTTTTCTCTGTCTCCTATTTCTTTTGCAATGGCAAGTGATTTCTCGTAATATTCTTTGGCCTTCTGATATTCGCCAAGGGATTGAAACGCAGCTCCGAGGTTCCCGTATGTTGTTCCTTCTCCATTTCTGTCGCCGATTTCTATCGCGATGGCAAGTGATTTCTCGTAATATTCTTTGGCCTTCTGATATTCGCCAAGAGATTGAAACACAACTCCGAGGTTCCCGTAAGTTGTTCCTTCTCCATTTCTGTCGCCGATTTCTATCGCGACGGCAAGTGATTTCTCGTAATATTCTTTGGCCTTCTGATATTCGCCAAGGGATTCAAACACACCTCCGAGGTTCCCGTACCTTGTTCCTTCTCCATTTCTGTCGCCGATTTCTATCGCGATGGCAAGTGATTTCTCGTAATATTCTTTGGCCTTCTGATATTCGCCAAGGGATTTAAAAACACCTCCGAGGTTCCTGTATCTTGTTCCTTCTCCATTTCTGTCGCCGATTTCTATCGCGATGGCAATTGCTTTCTCGTAATATTCTTTGGCCTTCTGATATTCGCCAAGGTATTGAAAAACACATCCGAGGTTCCCGTATGTTGTTCCTTCTCCATTTCTGTCGCCGATTTCTATCGCGATGGCAAATGCTTTCTCGTAATATTCTTTGGCCTTCTGATATTCGCCAAGGTATTGAAAAACACATCCGAGGTTCCCGTATGTTGTTCCTTCTCCATTTCTGTCGCCGATTTCTATCGCGATGGCAGTTGCTTTTTCGTAATATTCTTTGGCCTTCTGATATTCGCCAAGGGATTGAAACACACCTCCGAGGTACCCGTATGTTCTTCCTTGTCCATGTCTGTCGCCGATTTCTATCGCGATGGCAATTGCTTTCTCACAATATTCTTTCGCCTTTAGATACTCGCTGAGGAATAAACAAAGAGGTCCAAGTCTCGCGTAAACCCTTGTCTGTTCTCTACGGTGGCCAATCGCTTTCATGATGGTAAGAGCGCTTTTACAAAGTTGCTTTGCCTCTGCAAACAAACATTTTGCCTTGTATTTGTCTCCCAGTTGTATGGTTAGTTCTCCAGCGAGGAAAATCTTTTCAATAAGTTTTGTGGTGTATCGTGCTGCATTTGTGTAACCAGACGTGGCGTAGTACGCATTGAATAATACATCAGAGATATCATGATCAAGGTCAATACCAGAGTCAAGCTTGTGAAGTAGAAATAAACATTCATTACATAACTCGGTCGCTTGTAGGCCACGATCAGTGTTAAGGAGAAATATGGCGACGTCCAAACCAATCTGGACTGACTTTAGGATTTCTGCTGCGTTATTCATTACGTCATGTTCTGAATGTTAAAAGAATTTCTCCAAACGTGAGTAAAGAATCAGCAAAATCGAAGACTTTCTATCGGATGCATGAGCGCCTCTTGTCTTTCTTGTTTAATTCAAGACAAGCTCTATCAATTTTTTTAACCAATTGATCGTCGGTTAATCCATTGATCGTGCTATGCTGGCGTTCAACTCACTGATTATTTACTTTTTACATGCCACACAATTAATTAGAACTGAATCTGGTCGCAGTTTTCTGTTTGAAAGTGACTTCCACTTGCATTCTTTAGAGGGTGAATCAAAATTAGCAACCTTAGCCGTTAAAATTTAAATTCAACTCAAAGCATTGTTAAATTGGTGTTTGTGTAACAAATTAAACGACATTAAATATGTTGAATCTACATCAACATTATCATTTTTGGAACTTCTACTGGGAAGACATTGTGAATAAAACGGGACCATTTTAGTGGGAGTGTGTTCTACACGACGCGTCTCGCGCGTGTATTCATGTCATTCACACTGACCTCTGCAACTCGCTTTATCTGCCTGATAGGTGAAAGAACTTTCCTGAATAATGCTTTTTGCTTAGGAAGAAGATTTCCTCGGACTTCTAACTTCAACAGATGGCATTTATGTTATTGATACCTTTTGGTTGTGAAGAACAATTTTGACTTTTCCCTCCTGATTTCTATCAGGAGGGAAGATGAAAGCGCAAGCTGTCCTTTCTTTCTTGGTAGACGGTAAGTGGCTGAATTTTTTTTGTAGGACTATGAAGGAGCTAGGTTCTTCTTTCCCATCCCTTGTGCTCACCCGTTTTTTCGCCCTCATGCACCCCCCTACCACTCGCTCCAGCCGAGTGAGCGGCTTAAATCGGAAAGATTTTTACCGGATTAGATTTTCAATTCAGAATTGAAAATGACTTGAAAGAATACAGTACATATAAACCTTCAACAACAGAAAAATTAAACGAGATAGATGTTTCCTTTTTTGTCCTTTTTTTAAAAATATTTTGCCTACCTGAATGTATCCTCAAATTTTTTAAAATCGTTCTCTCCATACTTTTTGGCAAGAGATTATAAAATTTTGGTTATGGTAGTTTTACCAATGTTGATATTTTTTACCCGCGCAGCCAGGATGGTCAACATGCGAGAAGGTTTTCTTGCTTTACTTTGGTAATCTATTTTGATAACTCTTGCAGTCACGAGAAACTTTCAATTGTCTTTGATATTTCTGTATTTCATTGTAGTATCTTACCAAAGCCATCAAATTGGCTTTCAAAATCCAGGGACTTAATTTGCCTCTAATCTCTTGCTCTTCACTAAATTCCACTGTACTTAAATCTGATTATTGATCGAGGCAAATCAAAACATCTTTCATTGATCTTGGGACGTTCTTCTACGCCACACAGATCTTGTGTCGTCTGGTAGCAGAAATATTTGATGGAAATAAATTCAATAAAAAAAGTTACATTCCACTGTAAAACGAAGTGTGAAACCACTCAATGTCTCCAGAATGTTCAGATAAATATATATGTGTTGGTATTTCTAACCTTGTGTCCCGTACAGATAAAGCCAGCGTGTCAGTATCAGAAACTCGCTTTTGAGATGCGTGAAATCATACATATAAATGCCGTTGATCTCAATGAGCTTGTTAGACATGGGATTTTTCGCTTTCCCTAGTATATTTAGAGACTTAAACAGTTAAATTGCTTTGTTAAATATCTTTTGTTAACTCTATCAGTCTGACTTGCCGAACGTTCGGTAGTTTCTCTGGTTAGTTCTCTTGGTACAGCACTTTTACAACTTAATTGACAAATAAATAAATCGAGAACCGTCAAATCGTCTCTAAAAGAACCTGGGAACTTATTGTCTTGATACTGAATTCCACCTCTAACAAATGTCTCGTTTCCATTACAGGAGATAAAGCTATTGCGTGACGCAGATATTGTTCATGCATCGCGTTTCAGACTAAATTTCATGGACATGAATTGAATCTAAGACATTTCATTCGATTGAAGAGGAAATGATAGAGAGCGGCGTTTGACGCATTTGTTCTTTTGTTTCAAGCGGAAGCCCCGTCCTGATGAAATGCATCGAAACCGAGTCCGTGTTCTAACCCTTGGTTTGTGATACAGTAAACCAAATGTATTACGCATGTCACTCATTGCTAATCAATCTTTTCAACCTCCCTTTTAAAATCTTTATATAGGCCTATCGTTGACAGGCAACTGAAACGTCTAAAAAGCGATTGGAAATCATCCGTTAGCTTTGTTTTCTAGGCAAAGGGAAATTTTCCCCTTGTAAAGAATTCCACTCGTGTTTTAATACTTAAGTTACTCATGTACCACCTTTTCCGAACGTTTTTTATAGTCAGTTAAACAGTACTGTCAGTTTTTATTCGTGGAAAATGAAACTAAGGAAGCATTGACAATACAGGGCCAAAATTGAGAAAAAAATCTCACCTTTGAAAACAGAAAATGTCTTCTTTAGTCTCCCGATGGTGTGACTGATAAAAACATAAGCAAGAGAGTGAAATTAGACTTTAACTGTCAAACAAACGTTATTGCAAATAGCTAATATAAGAACGTTTTACTCACACGTTTGGTAAGAAGAAACCATAAAAAAAAACTAAGGAAGAGAATTTTTTTCTCGATTGCCTATAATAAAGAAATAAAAAAACGCGCTGAGTGCATTGTTAAGTTATGTAAGCACGCGGGAATTTTTTCTGAACACTCGAGAAGTGCGGACAAGCACGAGCCGAAGGCGAGTGCTTCTCGCACTTCTCGAGTGTTCTTAAAAATTCTCAAGTGCTTATAGAACTCAGCAATGCTCGAGGAACAAGCTTTTTACTTCGTTTGTAAAATGTATCGTGAATTGCGCGCGCTCGTACCGTTGACGTAGGCTGCGTGCATTATATCTCATTATAAAATAATTCAAATAGTACCCGCGCTCTGATTGGCCATAAAACCATTTTACATGAGCGTATGTAAACACGGTTTTCGTTCCCCATTCATTAGTTATTTTATAGAACTCGATAAGCTGGAAACCACTCCGCTTCGCGTCGTGGTTTCCTACGCTTATCTCGTGTTCTCCCAACCTCCCAAGTGTTTACATCAGGCTATGTAAACACGGAAACCATTTTACATTTCTTCAACAGTGCACTCGTGTGACGTAAGGCGCGTGCTTTATGGAAATATAATGAACTCGTTCTGACCAGCCACGGCGTGCGCATTTCTCTGAAAATTTTATAATATATATAAAATAACATACGGGATTTTCGTATTTTATATCTTTAAAGAAATGATGGAAATGTAGTTTCTCCTTACAATATCAAGATACCTTACAGAAATCAAGTGGTGAGAGTAAACAGATCGATCAACAAGGTTTTATGTCTATCATTAAGATATAACAAATCTATATTTTAGCGCTAAATATTTCTGAAATAAACTTTAAGCCGCTCACCTTTGGAAAAGAAAGGATATCTGGATAGTTAGGAAACCGAAGCAAAATATGAAATTATCTGTACAAAGAAAAGACAAGTACAAAGAGTTACTGCTGGATCGAATATTAAAATGATCGGTTTAAATAATTATTATAAAAATCTAAAGGATGGATGTTGGATTACAACTTGCTCGTAAGATCGTCAGTAAATATTGGAGCTCCTCGAATATCATTGATAAGAGCTTAGTGGTTTTAATCGCGCTTTGACCGATTTTTTAGACTTTCAAGTCACAGAAGTGAGGAATATTTTGCCTTTCTTTACAATATCAACATTTCATCCAGTGAATAGGTGGCGAGAATAAGATACAATACCAGATTCTCCCTAATGACTAGCAAGGTAATGTAAAGGAGCTTGAAGGGAGAATTGCTGCTAAGATAAACTTTGGTTAGATTGTTTGAAACAATAAAAAGTCATACATCATTAAATTTCCCCATCATCACATCAGCTACTCATAAAGATATTCCAATTTTTTTATAACGGGAAAAGAATGATTGTTGCTAAATTTAGTTTTTCAGCTGTAAAGCTTTGAAAAAATAAACACGGGCTGTTCAGGGTGCTAATTGTTTACGTGATGAGACTGATTGCAAGAAACAGATAAATGCAAGTAGCTCGGTTAAGAACAAAGTGCTGAGTTTGATTGGTTAATAACATCACTGAAAAAGTAAGTCTACGACGTGTAAACATGACTTCTTAGTTACCCCAGGATGTGCATTGTACATTATTGTGGCTTTTTCTTTTTTTTCGTTAGAATTTGCTGTTCTTGAATTTGATTTCTGTTGTGACTGATTTGAGGCGGCGAAAATAGTTTTGAAAACGGGAAAAGGAAAGAAATATTAATTTTTTAATTGGCATCTTACACTCGCACAAAGAAGAGTGTCTTGTTTAGTATTCTGACCGTATGACTTGGAAACAAGGAAAAACCAGAAACTGAAATCACCAGAAACCATTGACGGAAATAATGCTTTTGCTGCAAAAAAGGATGATAACAACAGCTAGTGTGAAAAAAAAATCTAAATCGGGAAACCTTATACAGCTTTCCCACACAAATGCAGAGAAAATATTCCATCTTTAATCTTATTCTGTCACTCCCAGACTGACTTTTAAAAGAAACTATTCAACTAATATCAAAAGTTGGTTTTTCTTGATGTAATACTATATTCTCTTAAATCATTCACAATAACATCATAGCACTTTAAAAGGAGAGTTAGAAATTAGATCATGGAATGCAAAGGCTTCATGTTGGATAAACCGTTTTATTTTCTAGACTACTACAACTTTAAGACAAAAATTTTTCAGTAAAAAATCTTTACCAAAATTTAAGATTTTTTCGAGGCTACAAAAATTCCTCTGCCATCGAATGCTCATTGCAAAACATTTCAGTTTGTAAAGCGGGAAAATATTGTTTCTAAATCGATACCTTTTACTGCTCACCTTCTAAAAGTGTCGTGACAAGTATTCTGATCGTGTGACTGATAAAACCAAGGATGAGAAACTGAAATAAAACG